TCCAGATTTCTATGAAAAGTGGTATTTCTTCTCTCGTTTAACATTGTTATTTCAGTGTAAGTCTATACAAAGTTAAACTGACTTCCTTGAGTTGAGTTGGGGAACTGGAGATATTGTCCTTTTGCTCTAGTTTAGGAAAATGATTATTCATAGATATATTTTATTTTTTATATAATCATTGGCACTTGTTATGTTATCTTTTTGCCTTTTCTGGATAAAGCTTTTATTTAAAGTACTCTCACTGAAGTGTAGTTACTCAAGAGTTAAACATGTAACTTGAACAAATTCCTTCTGAAAAAGAATTCTTCATCCATCTCTCATTTTAGCTGTCAAGCGTCTGCCACAAAATCCTGCAATACATGACCTGAATAGAAGTAGAAAACTTATTCAAACCTTTCACACTTTCATTGGAGGGGATTGTTGCCTATTCTATTGCCAATTGAAATACCAGGATTTTTTGTCTTATGCTAAGTGAATGATATATTAAATCCCAGACACTTGCTGTCTCTTTGGCAAGATGAATAGTTTGCTTTCCTCAGTCCCTTCCTTCTGCATCCTCAGTGTGACCCATTTCTTGTCCAGCAAGTTGCTCAGAGTCTGTACCTTGTAAGAGTTGCTCACAAAGTACTCTGGCTCTTGGACTGCTGAGAACTCCAGTGTTCTGACTTGCAGCCTGGCTTTCTAAGGAAAAGATGCTATGTAGGGATAACTTCAAATTTGATTACTGAATTCCCGTGAGTTTTGTGAAAACTGGCATCTTGATAGATGTTAATTAGTTTCAGCTGAGGAAAAATAAGCCTTTTAGTTGTTTGGCTTGTGTGGTGACTGACAAGCAATGGCTCACTCAGTGCTTAGGAAATGTGTACTAGCCTGCCAGTTGGCACATACGTACCTTATGCTGTGGCTTGTCCAAAACTGATTCTTGCCGAGCTCTTAGACCAGTCAGATGCAGGGGAAAAGGGGGGGATACAGAGATCCTGGGATGTGAAACTCAGGGGCAGGGGAAATGGAATACTCAGTGCCAGTAACCTTAGAGGTGTTTTCACAGTTATGGGGAAACCTGATTTATCAGTTTGCTGCCCACAGAGCAGCTTGTAGCAACTGGGGGGTTTTGTTTTGTTGTTCTTTTATGGAAAGGCTGAAAATAAAACTTGCATTGCTACTAATATATCCAGAGATGATATCTGTGTGTTATTTCTTCAGACAAAAAGCTCTTAACATAATAAAAATGCTTTCTGATCTGAACTCTGATCCTACGAAAATGCCCTATTAATCCTGGAGGGTGATGTCATTCCCACAAACTTGTTTTTTACATGAGAAATGTTTGCGGAATTGGACTAGTGTCTGCCTGGGTGGTGGAAGGCTGGAGATCTTTATTCTAAATGGTTGTTGGCCGATTAACCACTAGAGGGCTTAACTTCATTGCAGAAGGGTAATTAACATGAAGTTTTAAACTGTGGGAATATGCTAGGAGAAAACATTTTCATAAAAATCTTCCTTCCCCGTTTCTGTCCCCTTTTCCCTTTTCTTCTTTCCCTCTTTCCCTCCCTTTTCCTGATGTCAGTCAAGCTCTGATGATTAAGCATTTGCTCTGGCCAAGGACACCCTTCCACAAAGAAATACAAACAATCTGATTTCAAGCACCTAGTGAGGTTTTTGGGCAGCTGTGGAGGTAGTTCTTGGAACAGAAGAAATGCCCCTAACCTTGTATCACCCAGCTCTTTCATGAGCTTCACTGATATACATTCTTAGGAAGATCAGACACACACATTGGAATGTGTCCCCACTTGAATTATTTATTGAAAATACCATTGAATCATAGAATATCACGAGTTGGAAGGGACCCATAAAGATCATCGAGTCCAATTCCTGGCACCGCACAGGTCTACCCAAAAATTTAGACCATATGACTAAGTGCACAGTCCAAACGCTTCTTAAACTCTGACAGGCTCGTTGCAGTGACTGCTTCCCTGGGGAGCCTGTTCCAGTGTGTGACAAACCTCTTCCTGATGTCTAGCCTAAACCTCCCCTGTCACAGCTTGACAGTATTCCCGTGGGTCCTATCACTGGTGACTAAAGAGAATAGATTAGTGCCTGCCCCTTTGCTCCCTTTCGTGAGGAAGCTGTAGGCTGCAATGAGGCCTCCTCTCAGCCTCCTCTTTTCCAGGCTGAACAGGCCAAATGACCTCAGTCTTCTCATACATCTTCCCCTCTAGGCCCCTCACCATCTTTGTAGCCCTTCTCTGGATGCTCTCCATTAGTTTTATGTCCTTTTTGTACTTTGGTGCCCCAAACTGCACACAGTGCTCAATTATCACTTCAATTAAGGCTGGAGTGTGAGCTCTAAAAAGTACCATGTTTTGTTACTGATGATAATGGATCCAAATCCAAAACAGGGCAACCTTGAACCCAAGATGACTGAAGGCTGTTATTTCTTCAGCCGTTATTTATAATCCTGATAAAATGCATAAGCTGTATATAAAATTAAGTCATCTCAAATGTTATGTTAGAAAGTCTTGAGCAAATTTATTTTGATGATAATAAGCAAATAGCAGTGTTGAAAACTTCTAACTTAATTTTGAAAGAAAAATCTATAACTTGAAAAATGACACTAGATTTTTTTGAGTGTAGGCCAACATGTGTTCTGTACTGTGTTCTTTTTCTCACTAAAGTGATTGTTTTCTAAGGTGTTGTTTCTGATCACAATGTCCAGAAGTCCCAATCTGCGAGTATTCCACTACTTGTGTAGATAATTTGTCATTGCTTGAATATAATTTGATTTTTTTTCTTTTTCTTTTTCTTTTTCTTTTTTTTTTTTTTCTTTCTTAATATAGTTCTATGAGCTACAGTTCAGTATACTTGGATGAATAATTCTTTTTCCTTATTAGCTAATGTCCTTCATGTGCTTGGGACCGTGCTATTTCCTACCCTGCCTTGAGCAGAGATATCCAGACCTAATGAAACCTATTGCTCTAACTCTTAAAAAGACCCTTTACAGCTGCAGAGGCTTGGTCTACTTTTAAGACATTAGAAGTCAAACAACAACGAAATACTAACACTCTATATTACCTCAACTTTACTATAGAAAAATTGAAAACAAACAAACAATCATTTTAATGGCTTCTGTTAAATTAAAAGAGTTAATTTATATTAATGGAAAATTTTATTATTTTTGATGCCACATATGAAACACAGTGTGAAATATCATCTTGAGTGGAAGAATCCCAGATCAGATTTCTTACAAGAGTTTGAAATGTTTTCTACATCAGACATAGTTACAGAGGAAAATAACTCAGAGACTGGTAATGGAAATTGGAAACTCTAATGCTGTATTGGGTTCATCTCAGCTTGACAGCAACCTCAAGGCATCATCCTCTAACAGGAGATTTATGAGAGCATGAAATGTTGATTAGCCCCTGCCACCTCCTACAGGGTAGGTGCCCCCATTAAATGTTTGCAATCTGTGACTATGACTACATTAGTGTGTTAATTTGGATAAGGAGCTCAATCCTTTTACTTCAGTCTGCAGACTGGAGCGGTTTGGGATCTTTTGGAGCAGATTAAAATAAGCTGGAAAACGAAGACTGGCTGCATATTCAGTGAGTGGGAGTAGCCTGGAATTAGTCAAAAATAAAAACAAGGCAAAAATCTCCTTGAAATGTGAATTGTGTAAATAAGTTTCCTTTAGGATTTACAGAATAATGAAACACAAGATGGACAGATAACCCATTTCAATGGCTGTTTGGTAAATATTTTGTGCATGTATGTATTTGTAGAAAACTGCATCCAGAGTCACTTAAATACAGTCAGTAATAAAACTAAATCTTAAGAAATAGTGGAACTACAGTGTACTGTAATAATGTATATCAGTTTGTAATAATTGTCCTTAGGCCACCAGTGATCCTGAACCTGCATGGGTACTGCTGTGTGGACTTGTCTTTGACTATGGTTGAAAAGGTTGTGTGTTTTCCTTTGCCCTCTCTTCTAGTCCATCAGGGGAGAGGGGAAGAGAAAGGGCTAAAGGAGTTGATGGGAGAAATTTTTACCTGAGAGAGACACAAAACTTCTGAATTTTATTTTGTTCCACAACCACCTTGTGCAGAATGCTCCCAGCATCCTACAAAGTGCTAGGAGGAATGAAATATAAGGCAAAAGATAGGCTTTGCAAATGAAAGTGAATTGCAGTAATTTCAATTACCGTTATATGTGTCATTAAAACTGCACTTTTTAGTGATTCTATTAATGTTTAGAGTAAAGTGGGTAAGGTTTTTCCATTTTAATATATGTTCACGTTAAATTTTGGTTAATTTACACTTTTCCATTTTAATGAAAATTAGAAACAAAGCCCCTTAGCTCCGTTGACTTCTTTCTCCTTTTTGGTAGTATGAAAATTTCCAAAAAAGTTTTTTAATGAAAGTGAAATACAATTATCTTCCTGGAAGTTTTATTTTGTGACAGGAGCAAACTAAATACAAGAATGTATCTCAAATATTCTTAAGAATCCAAGTGTGTTGTTTGATAGAATTTTGTGTCTCTCCTTTTGGAACAGATGAGGAACATTCATATGTTAATCTCTGAAATAATCTGGTTATATTTTATGCATTAACATAACTGGAGGTTCTTGCTAAAATTTTTCACTATAAGAAGCAAAGGGCAGAGATCAACGCAACCTGCAAAGCACACAAAGGTGTAATGACAACTGAAGGATCTCTCAAACCATCATGACATGGCAAAATTTCTTTCTGTCATTGTCTTCTGTGTTATAAAGGGCCGATTGAGCTCAACAGAGGAGTAATACTTGCAGGTCTAGCGAAAGTGTAACTAATACAGACTCTGCTGAGGAGTTACCATGCATTACTAATGAGAGACATGCAGCCGGAAAGTTGTATGCAACATTTGCAAAGCTCCTGAAGCTGTATGTATCTACCAAGCTTGATGTCTTCTTTTTTCATTTTTGCGTTGTATTATTTCGAATAATGCATCCAACTGTTTATCTTTGAAAGGATTTAAACACACTGTAGGAATACGTAGTTATAAGATGCCATCATAATCAAAGCCATCAATTTGGATAAATTTCCTATTACCAAATTATACTGAAATGAACATTGTGGGAAAGCTGAATTTAATGATACCGTGGAGTATATTTTTGCTTCATTCACTGCTGTCCTCTTTGCAAGGTAAGAACTTTATTCCATTTCTGAAGAAATACTAACTTTTAAAATGAGTTCTCTAAATATTTTATTAATACAGCTCCTTCTTTTTCTATCATTATCAAACAATATTTTTAACCCTTTTTGGAATTCATGAAACAATAACATAGGTTAAATAACCCATTTTACATATCTCCTTTCTCTCTGACAGGTGTTGAAGCTAAAATATAGCTCTTATTTTTTAAAAAGACACATTTTCTATGTCTGAATTTTGTTACAAAATAATTATAAAGGAACTATGTTTAAGTTTCTTTTATTTCTTGTCACTACCGTCAGATGAGTAAGCAGGTAATGAATTTCAACGAGGTATGACTTTATTTCATCAGACTGCACCTGCACTTTGTTTAAGCATTTTTGGAATGCTAGAATAAATAATTGCTCTTCTGGTTATAGAAACAATCCTATTTTTAACCAGTATATTCACTTCAGATGGGTCTTGCAGATAGTTTCTTTGCAGCCATTATGAAGATTTCTAAGATAATCTGAGAAAGAGTGTAACCTGATTACAACTGAATTTTGCAAGTAATATTCAGAAAATGATTGCACCTAACTGCTGAAGGAGCTTGATTCTGGATAGCTCTGAGTATCCCTTGTACTTATAATTACCTTCTGTAATTTTATCAGATTTGGTCTGAGCCTCTGAACAACTAAGAACTCTTCTCTCTTTTTGGTGGTAGTATTTACCAGAGTTGAGACCATGGAAAACTGGGGTTGATAAGCCCTTGAAGGAATCAAGCTATCAGGAAGGAAAGCATCTGTTGCTAGGTCCCTTAGGAAGAGAAAAAAGTTAATGTAAAAGTGCTCTGGAAAACTCAGGATCATTAGCTATTTTTTAAAGAATAAATTTCAGTAGTGTTGTTTGCCAAATGCAGAGTGAGTTTGTAGAAAAACATTTAACTTAATGACTTTTTAATCTACAGGATCTTATTGCAAGCTTTCTCTTTTGAGAAGAACTTCAAGGTAAGTTTTTATTCCATATTTGTCAAGTTCTACAAATAAAACAAAAACATATAAGACTTATCTGATATAGCATAAGTTAGAAAGTAAAATATAGCCTTAAATTTGACATGTAAGATGTCAAGTACATGTGCATTGGATGTAAAACACACTTTCAGAATGTTTACATCTCTTTTCAAAGAATTTACACAACAGGCATGGATCCTCTATTTGAAAAATGAAGGCACTTATGAAAAATGATACTTCTATGGTCTCAAGAAAGCTTAGTGGAATAATGGAATGAAACCAGGATGAGATCATTATTTTATGTCTGGAAAAATACATTAAATGAGTATCCTTCTACAATTTTAATTGCATGATAAAATCCTAGCTGCTATTTGAAGCACAGAAAACTAAGTGCTATACAGCCATAAAATAAACATTTTCAATACAAGTTTTCATGTAGAAGCTGAAATCCAAACAAAACCCAAACTAGGGAATGTTCCTGATCCCATTGAATTAAATGGGAACTATGCCATCAATTTTAGTAGAAGTGTCCAGTTGGACATAGCTTTGGATGTCTAGTGACCTCTGTATCTAGTGAGCACACATGTATATCAAATGATATGCCATCTTGGACTGTTGATAAAACTAAGTATGTTTTATAGCCTGTTGCCCTTGTTTCTAAACTTAATTGCAAATTTAAGTCAGCTATAGCTGGCAAGCCGTCTTTTGCTATTTAAAGCCCTATCACAATATATTCAAATCATACTTGGGGGAACTTGCTGCCACACACACTGCCAGGTACCTATGAAACTGCTTTGCAATTTTGTATCCTGTCATAAAAGCTTATTTTGCCTGCTTACCTCTCCCTCATAAGACCTATGTACCTCCCTAATAAAGCATCCCATGTTTGAGAGCAGAGATTGGAGCACTATTGAATTCTGTAAAGTGAGACCATGAAAAAAAGTCACCATTTTAAATGTTAAGCCAAGAAAGACCTCTTTGATAAAGTGATGGTAATCAGAGAGAAACACTTCTCTCTGGGGAGCTGCTTATTCAGGCTGTTCCAGGGACCTTTGATTAAACAGGTTCCTTTTTGTTTTCTTCCAGAAATGAGTTTAATGCAACTCGACAGAAAAGAGATCTCTTAACAGCAGAGGTAGGTTATACCTCTGAAAGGGGGATGGTGGGGAAAGCCTCCCCCTTTTCTGCTCTGGGGCTTTGCTGATGTTACAATGAGGCCTTTGTAAGGAGCAAGGCTGTGGTAACAGGAGGACAGTGAGGAGGAGCCGCTGTTCCCTACCTGCTTGCCTTCAGCCAAGACCCATGGCCTCACACATTCATTCGTTCTTGGTGAAACGCTCTCTGAATCACCCACCCTGATAGACCGACTGACGCACACCATGGGAAATAACACCGTGGTTCTTCTGCCTTTTGTGAAGGCAAACAGAAAGCCCTAGAAAGCTGTTGGTGTTTGATGCAAAGCACAATGATGGCTGTAGACAAGGAGCCTGCATGTGGTGTGGTGATGGTGGCAGTTCCATCCCAGGCCTGGGTCCTACCACCGCAGCCTAATGTCTGTCCCTCCTCACTCCATGCTCTGTACTGCTGCCTTATGCTGCACAGAGGTGATGTTTGACTAAAATTTAATAGTATAAGGGGAAACTCATTCCCCTGTGGGTAGACATCTTGGGCTACAGAGCCCAAGCAGGTGTTATAGCCCTCTTCTACAGGGGCAGGCATGGAGCCCAAAGCCTCTTCTCAGGGTCTTGCAGGCAGGCTGCAACAGAACCACAAATCATTTTCTCTATGTCCCTTGGAGAATTTTGTGTCTCCTCACCAAGCTAGAAGGTAGCCAGTATGAAACATAACAGTGAGGTGAGTCATGCCTCTTTTCCTCACTAGGAAGACACCTTCTGAGGGAAATGGGCTCTGGGAACTGATGGTGGTCCAGAGGTGTGCTCAATAGGAGAGCAAATAAGCTCTATCTCCCCAAAATAGCACAAAAGCAAAAGCTGCCTTGCTGAGAGGCCTGGCTCAGGGTAACCAAGAGAGAATATGGAGAGGGGTGTTTTTGTGAAGGGGTGGTGGGGAACATCTCTGGCTAATGATGGACCCTGGAACAGCTTTCTGGTGAGCTGGTGAAGTCCATTTCAGATTGATTTTAGACAAATTGTGCTACTTGGGTGCATCAAAGTATTTCCAGTTGGAGGAGGGAAGTATTTATGTCACTGCATGAGGCATTGGTGGGACTTCACCTGAACCATTTACTGTACAGTTGTGTTTATGCCGAGATCCATTAGTTTAAGCTCCAGACATGGAGAAGGACTAGCAGAAGGAGTGAAAAAAGAGTATCTTGCAAGTGAAGGCTTAAACAAGTTGCTTTGCTCTGTTGTACTGCTGAAGGCTGGTGTTAGACATGCGGGGAGCATGGAAGGGTAACTGCTTTCTTGTAATATATCAGAGAGGGAATTTTTAAAAACCAAAACAAAGCAACAAAACAAAGCAGGGATGAAGAACTATTTAAGAAAAAGAGCAAAGCTTTGTAAAACAAAAAGATTTTAAATGGCCATGAATAAATGTACAGGGGAAATATTTAACTGCCCGGCACTTCATCCTGGTAAACTTCCCAACCGTACTTGTCGGGGCAAAAACCCCAGAGTGCTTGTCATGTGGAACTTGATTAGTTCTTGGAAGAGATGATGCGACGCGACAAACTGCAATAGCAGAGTGTTGGGTCAGATCCAGGACTTCCTTACAGTCCCAAGTCCCCCTGTTCCTATACAAGACAGGATGCAGATCAGGCAGACCTCTTCTCTCCCCCCCTCCCCCCCTTTTGTTTGAGACCAGCTGAAATGAGTTCTGAAGGATCTCAAGGGGGATGTGAAATCCATCACAGCTGAAGTGGCCACAGTTGGATGACTGGGGAGTGGCACAGGGCATGAGTTAGGGGAGAAACATTTGGTATTTGACGGAAGCAAAAAAGGCAAGAGTCTTGTCTGAGCCCTCACTCTTCCTCCCAAATGTAAACACAAATCTCTCCCAGTGGAGCCCTGCTGGTTTGTTGCCTTTGGTGAAGCAGAAGACATGGAGAGGAGGCCAGCAGTGACCCCAGGGCACAGCTGTATCCTTCCCCGTCCCCCAGAAACCATGCTTCCCTTCCCCACAGTGCCAGGTGCTGCAGTTGCTGCCTTTCCTGCTAGTCTGGGCTGCCAATCACAGCACTTGAGGCCATGCCCTGTGCTGGACCAGCCACAAGTGTCTCTCCTGTGCTAAAATAACCCTCAAAGTCCTCACTCAACGCTGCTGCAAGTCCCTGGGCTCATAGTGGTGCATTCATAAAGCAGAAACACTGATTTTCCTTTTTTGTTTCTGTCAGGTTCGAGCTGCCTCTCCTCGGTCACACCTGCACGGGTCCTTGACGCGCAGCCCACCGGGAGGTCAGTGCTGCTCGTCCCAGGAGGAGATGCCCCTGAACATGCTGCCTTCCTGTCACCTTCCCATGTTGCCAGTGGTTTTGTCCCCTAAAAAAAACCCAACACACTAACTCATTACTTCATTTTATCCGTGTTAAATAGCATATGGTTCCCACTGAAATTAGACTTTCAAAATAATGATTTATGACCAAATCTGAACAGCTAATTAAGCTAATCCTTTGATTTTTTTTTTTAAGTTTATTTCTAGTACAATTTTCTTACTACCACTTTTTCTGTCCTTGTGAGAGGATGTAATTTTGTCTGAGAGGCACGAACTGATTATGTGTATGTACAGTTGTGCCCAGACAATGAGCACAGGGTTACTCCTAGAGGGGTTCAGGCACTGTCCAAACACCTACAGCAGGTCCAAGTTATTTTGCAGAAATGTTTTTTGTATGCAACTGAACTTCAATATCCTTGGAAAATATGTATGCCTGGGTAGGCGTGTTTTTCCATGTCAATGAATATATATAATTCATAGTTCATAGTTGTAACAGCAAAAAAGTTTTCCACATTAATACTGTTCTATAAACAGTATTTTTGCCTTGTACTTTCAGGGTATCTGTGCATATTTGGAAAGCAATTCTTAAATGGGAAAAATTCAAAACTAAGCATTCAAAAGTAAGCTTTACTGTAAAGGTCCAGTTTTGTTCCCATTTAGCATCACTAGTAGCTTACAGTAGCTTCCATTAGGTGCGGAAGAGCCTATTTATTTCATTGCCTTCCTGCTTTCTGGAATGTTTTTTAAATCTCTGTAAGCAACTTTGTAAATATTTGTATCTAGGGTTTTAATTCCTCCCCAACAAGGAAATCAACTATCTGCAAACCCTGAGATTTGAAATTTCCTTTCTCCTTCACTTTTGGGGAACTATGATTTAGACCCACCTCAGTGAATGGTTAGTAGACAGTGAAGTCTTAGCATCCAAGCAGACCACATAACTCTTTAATGAAACTGCATTTAGAAACAATTACTAATTATAACATAAAACAAGCCATTCCCATGGAATCTTAAGTCTCTGACTCCAGTCACCTCTTAAGCAGAAATAACCTTTTAAAAGTTTTAGCATGCGTGGAGGGTTATTTTTAACTGTTTTTGACTTTGTAAATTATGCATTCCAGACTGTTCATAAGCTGAATATACCCTTTGCTGTAAAGCCTTAGAGGGAGGAGTTGAACATATGCATAAATTGTGCTGAATTTGGTCAATTAGAATAATCTGTGTCCTGTGTATTTCAAGATCAGGAGGACTGGGATTTAGTTTCTTTACATGGGAACTTGACCTTTTGTTTGCTGGGAGGAGGTTGACCTTTTGCTCCTTTGTTAGTGTACAAGCCTCAGACCAAAAGAGAACCTTGTCTTTTAACCAAGAAACACAAAGGATAAATTTAAGTAAATGTTAAAAACTGGAGATTTTTGTTGGTTAATTTTCTTAGCTAATACAGCTGCTAATGATTTTACAATAAACAAATTCAACGTGAGTCTCAATTTGTTTGCAGAATGCTGTATCTGCTAAAAGGCTGCTGTCCTTGCTTACAGGTTCATGTTCTCCAGAGTGCCTTAATGGAGCAGGTTGCACAGAGGCAGGTGACTGTGATTGTCAGTTATTTCAGGCTCAAGGAAGCAGGTGCCAAATTGGTAAGTCTGGGACCAAAAGAGTCAAGTTTTGGGTTCACGTAAGATTTAAGAGGAAAGTTTTTAAAACAATATTGTTAACAGCACTTTTGTGATTCCTTTGTAGTAGGGGTGTTATCCGCTAGAAGACACAGGGGTTAAAATTATATGTTAGGGAAATATACAGAGCACTGTCACAAATGCCTACGTTTTAACATTTGGTGTATGGTGATTCATAGATGCCATAAGAGACAGATCACTGTCTAGCTGGCCAGCTTTTTTATAGTTAACTGAACAACTAAAAAGTCACTGCATTTTTCTAGCAGTGACCTACTGTAAATAAAATAATTAACTCTTTCAATGCACTGGTTTCTGGAATCTCCTTTAGCAAGAATCATCTTTCTGGATCTTCAGTAGACTTTAATCTCTTGCTTCTACTTAGAATTAAAATGCCTCTACCAAGCAAATCCAAAACTTGCAATGATTTCATGTGACTAAAACTGCATTCTAAAGATAAAAAAAAAAAAAAAAAAAAAAAAAGTACTGACTTTAAATAAAGTTGAAGAAGTGAGGTTATCTTTCATCCTTGTCCATTTTGTTTATAAGCTCTTATTTCCCTTCTAAGCATTTACTTCTGTGGACACCTTTGCCACCTGTCAATTTTTGAATACTGTGCTTGTTGTAAACTCAGTGTGTTCTCTCCAGTTCCTAACACTGGTAAGGACCGAGATGGGATTTGCAAGTCATGGGGACAGTATCACTTTGAAACATTTGATGGCATCTACTACTACTTTCCGGGAAATTGCTCCTATATTTTTGCAAAAGACTGCGGTACTCCAGAACCCCAGTACACTGTTTGGGTAAGTATGTGAGCATACATTAGAAATAACATACTGCGTATACGTGTATTTCATAAGTAAAGTAAGTAGAGAGAAAATAAATAGATCAAACTGTAGCGTTACTTACTTAAATACAAAACTATGCTGCTGGAAAATGTCTAAGCATGTGTGCAGCAACTCAAAACACCGATGAAATGATAATCAGCAGAGTCAGTATATTAAAAATAGTGTTTCTTACTCCCTCTCTCCTAAAAAGGATCTCTGTTCTCTCCTCTCTGGGAAATCCTGTGTAGCAAAATTGGGTCTTAAGGCAGACCTTGGAAACTTCAATAAACTTTAGCTGTCGGATTGTAGAAAAAATTGAGTTGCCAAGTAAAGTGCAAACAGCTGTCACCTGCCTGGTAGCTGGGCACCCAAGTGTACCAAGCTCCAATTTGCAGCCATTGGCATGCAAGGATATGGAGCTACCTCCTCTGGCCCATGAAAAAGTTTGTCCCCGCTGTGGATTTCTGTTCTAATTTTGGATTACCCCTGCGTCATGCAGAGAAGGTTAACAGCTCAAAAGCCTTCATCTTGACCTATGTATAGGGGGCATTCGTTTTAGTAATTTCCTCAGATTTATGGGTATCCATGGTTAATGATTTTGAGATCAGGCAGAGTTCAAACCTATATCCTCTTTGAAGGAACGTGCCCTAACTACCAGGCTGTAGGTTACTGTGGGGAGAGAACATAAGCTCATTATGGTATTTTTTTCAATGGTTGGGATTTGCTGCTGATTGGGCAGGGGAGGGGGAACAAGAGAGGTCCTAACTGTAATGCAACCATGGTGGCCACAGTGATCACAGGGGCAAAGGTAGATCTAGGTTCTGATTCCTGCTCCAAGAACAAGTTTTCATTTATAAACGTATGATTTCCTGTCCCCCCAAATACTAGCATCTTGAGAAGATTAATCTGCCCTTTCTACTCACTCAGATCATAGGCTGTTTCATCTGCCTTCCATTATTTCATTTTAATTCTTTGTATGCAGCTATTATCTCTTAGGAGATTTCAGCAAATGCTATAGCAAACCCCGAGATTATATTAAAAATCTAGAATCTTTATTTCAGTGTATTCCAGTTGCTCTGGAAAGGGAGAAATTACCTTTCAGTTGCTGGAACAAATGCCATACTTTGTTAAAAACTTAAAATGTTTATTCAGAAAAGTCACAAGTAATGCTGAAGCAATACAGTCACAATCAGCTGGGCAGTGGAGAGCTGAAAGTCTTGCCAAGTGCTCACATTATGGTCCTTCTGGTTTTAATAATCCACCTCTCTAGAGCAGAATAAAACACAAGACCTATTTTGATTTTCCTTGATTGTGTTTCTGTCTTAGGACAGGCTTACATAGAAACCATCTGTCAATACTAGTAACATTTATTATGTCTTTAATTATAACTTTCTTTATACATGTAAAAACCCTAATGCTTTTACTGGCTTGGTTTATTTCACTCAGAGAAGCAGTAACTGTTTTTTACTTCCAGCATTAACTGTCAACCTAGGAAGATTAGTTAGTGTATGTGTGAGTGCTGTATGTGTTTACCAATAAATCTTTTCTACAAAAGTGATAGCTCTAGTTACTAGTTACTGCCCCCATTACTATGCTGGCAAAATGTTTCACAGTTACTCATCTATTTAGCTTCACAGCACTGTCAAGTAAATTGGTAACGTGGCTCAAATCCTTCTCACAGAAAGCTGACGCACATGGTCAGAGGAGTCACGCTTGAGCTGTCTAAACTCTGTCTACATTTTAATTTAGGTAATGGTAGCTAAGATTCACAGCGTATTCCCATGCCTCCTCAGTTGTTACTAAAACCAGCACATATGCTTTTGAAGCATAGTAGCCTAGAGCATCACACCAGTTTGGGTATTCCTGCTCCGCTGAGATTAGCATAGCATAGATTAGCGGGAGCTTTGCATAGGCCCTTGGACGAGGTATATTCTTCAGACTCACCTAGACTACTGTCAAAGTAATTCAAAACTGTGTCGTAGTGATTAACTGGGTAAAGCATACACACAGAAAGTTGGAGACCTACATTCTTATCATCAGTCAGAGTAAACCTGAACCAATGTTTTTCATGTCCTGAGAGTGCACCCTGGCCAACAAAAGCCCTGTTGTCTCTGGGGATACAGACATTACTACAAGGCAGGAGTCACGCTCTGCCATGGCTAATGACTGGGAATGGAAAGGAAGCCTGACTGCAAAGGTAGCATCCTTTCTGCAAACTATAAAAAGGATGCATGCTGGCATATCATGCCTACTCCGAGTTCTGATAAAACATTATTTTTGTTTTGAGATTACTTCATTGCCATAAATCTGTACGCACACTAAGATAAGAATTGCACTTTTTTCTTTTCTAGAAGTACATATCTGGGATCTGTTTAAAACTTCTAGTAGTGGGCAGTCATGGAAATATTACCCTATAGTTGTGAGACCCTATTTTGCAGATCTCTCTCTGGCTGAGTGATGCTTTCTGTGCTGAAACTGAGGAAGCTGATGTCAGATTCAAGGCAGCACCCTGACTCGCTACCCTATCTATGTACAATGAGGACAGGCAGACTTTGGAAGAGCCTACACTTCTCCATTGACAATGCTGAGAAACTAATGCAAAATGGGTTTTAACAGATGTGTTTATGTTAGATGCCTGCAGGAATCTGTGGGAGTACTCCAAAATCTCAACAAATCCTGAGTGGTTCAGGAGGGCATGCTGGATCAGGTGGTGCCAGTCTCAGCTGGCTCGGAGAATGCTGGCACTATGCTGAGGTTTTGTATTGCACAGTAGTCCTTTCTAGACCTCTAGAAAATGAGCAGTAGGGGTGTCTCAGTGCAAATAACAAGCTCCTACACTGGCAGTGATAAAACAGCACACTATGGTGTCTGTGAAGTTCATCTGTGTAAACTACCTATTTCACACAGTGTTTAAGCCACTAACTTGTGATGCTTTGTGCTGTTAGGCACTTGCTCTATTTCTTAGTAGTACTGGGTAGCATGAACTTCTGTTTTTGCATATGTTTGTAAATATGACCTTTTTACGTTTTAAATATTTCTCTCTAAAACTCTTTCAGTGATTCATGTACAGAAAAATAAATTATCATATATGACTTTATGAAAACTTGCACGAAATTGTTCAGAAAAAACATTTATTCTAACTGTGTGTGTATTGTTCCTTTCTAAGGTTCATAACAGTCCTGACTGTTATGGTTCAGTATATTCTTGTCAGAGGTCAGTCAGCTTATTTTTTTCAAACCAAGAAGAAATAATTATTTCAGGACATGAAGTAAGAAAAGAAGGAAAAAGGTAAGTGTTCTAATGATGGTTTCAAATATTTTATTGCAGAAAGACAATGTGAAGATGCTTTTGACATCAACCAGAGAAAATAACTTGCTATATATTTTTACTGATCCCTGGATATTCTATAATGGGACTGATAGAGTGCTAGTGTGAGAAGATGTAATGCTGTTCATGTAATATGTGAATGAAGTGAATATGTGAATACATGAATGAGCATGTGCTCCCCATGAGCCTTGTGTTCAACTTCTCAGCTCTGACATCGGGATTTACCATATAAATTTTGTATAAACAAGGTCTACATCACAATAATCTGGTTAATCTTTGGTGCATCCTGATAACATTTTGAACAAGGTAGTCTTTATTTATGCTTGGTGTGCAGCTATACTGAATTCAACACATAACCTTCATATAAATAAGCCTGAACTAATTGAATCAAAGATCTTAATTCTTCTTTGGCCCTTTTGGGCAAAACCTCCACATTTCTGAGGTACATCAAACCCTCAAATGTACCTTTTTTTTTTTTTCTAAATAAATAAATGAGTACAAGGCTATCATAAGTATTTTTACTATTAGATAAAGTACAGAAAATTTCAAAGACTTGTAAAGACGTGGTTTTTTGTATCACTTTGAAGGTGATTAGATTAGATTTCCTTTGATGTAACAATGCTATTAACATCTGAGACTGATGGCTACTGTGCCATCTGTCTTCACCACAACAGAGGCAATTTTTGAAGATTACGATTAAATCATACTCAAATATTATTTTCCAGTGGTCAATGGCTGAAGGAGGAGGATATACTTTTTTTTGGTCAAGGGTATTTTCTGTACTGTAAGTTTCTTTATTGGCATACATCTAATCTGATGATCCATCTTCTGCCAGAAGGGCTTCTGGTGTTCACCACACCAGGAACACTGGTAGTAGTTTCACAGAGCTCCTTGTGCAACACAGCATGCTCATGAAGTCATGTGCTCTTTAATATGCCTCTTCTGGTCTTTGAGAAGAAGATTCTTCCAGGCTTAGAATAAGTACAACTGATAGATGTATGCAGTAGAAAACCATTCACTTTTGATGATCAATACAGAGAAGCAAATAGAAAAGAACATGGTAAAAATGTAACGAAGAATCATAGGATCATTAAGGTTGGAAAAGACCTCCAAGAGCATCTGGTCTAACCACCCCCCTACCACCAATGTCACCCACTAAACCACATCCCTAAGCACAACATCCAACCTTTCCTTAAACACCCCCAGGGATGGTGACTCCACTGCCTCCCTGGGCAACCCACTCCAATGCTTAACTACTCTTTCTGAGAAGAAATGTCTCCTAATTTCTAACATGAACCTCTCCTGGTGCAACTTGAGGCCTTTAAGTGACTGTATACAACTGGAAAAAAGAGTGTAGTGAGTTAGAAGGTGATATTTTATGTGGTATTTTTCTATCACTAACTTCATCTCATCTGAGCTCTTTGAAGTAGGCTGTTTATTTTTGCAGATTAATGTTGCCTCAGACAGTTGGAAATGTTTTCGTTGAGAGATTGGCTGACTATATTCTGGTGAAAACTACCTTTGGTTTTTCTCTTGCTTGGGATGGAAACTCTGGTATTTATATTAAGCTGACAGAAGATCATAAAGGGAAACCTTGTGGCCTCTGTGGAAATTTTAATGGCAATAAATATGATGACCTGATACTGCAAAATAGTAAGTAAATGGCTTAGAAATGCACCCTTACCTTTGTTTAAACAGGTTCAATGTTCACTTTAAAACGATTATGTAAAAAGACAGAGTCCTTATTTCAGTAGAAAATAGAATATCTCTACTCTTCAATGCCATTAAAAATGTTAAGGGGGAAAAACAGTTCAAGAAAGTATTTATATGTATGCTTAAGCCTTTCTTGCTCAGCAAAGCACTCAGGGTATGTTTATCTTAGCTGATGAAAGTGCCTTCAAATTATAAATAAATAAACAAATGCTTGTGGTTTTCTCTATGTTTAAGGATGGAGGGAGAAGGAGCAAAAAGCCAAAATATTAATATTTGGAAAAAAACACAATCTTGAGTCATTCGTTTACATTACCATCATAAAAATATGAGTTGAAATATGCATTTTTAAAGCTCTTTCCAGAAAGTTCCTCATATCTCTCTGTTGATATGTTGTGCTATGGGTCTCTTACTACCCTGTAGGATTAGGAGTTGCCCAATGCTGTATCTGAGGAAGAGGTGATTTGCCAAGTTGATAAAGTGTTCTGTAGTCTTTGTAGTTCTATATAGGGAGTATTCTATAGAGACTTTGTCCTACTCATGACTAATATGAAAAAAGAGCAAGCTTGGAAATATGAGAGATCCTTTACTTAGTCTGGTAGAAATAAAGATAGGACTGTCTTGTTTTTACTGTTAATTACCGAGAAAATCAAGTCCCACGTCCCTGCAGATCGTTAAATCACAAAGGTTATCTCACAGTAACTGTTTTCCCTCCACTGTTTTGCACTGTTCATTGTGGTTAATGGGTAGGAGGTTTTTGACTTTCTTACTAAGGGAAGAAGCAGACTACATATCTTCGCATAGTCTTTAAAAATCTTCCCAATATAAATTCCTCTTGTCTTCAACCATGACAGAAGTATGTTCCTTGTTTCATACATTAACTTCTGCACACCAGGGTATAGTATTTTTAATAATTAATTGAAAGGGTTGATCTAAAATAATGAATAAAAATGGACTTCAGAGAAGATTTACAAGTCACATGAATTCATACAATCTCTTCAAAAGTAATCATTTCAGTGTCTTTAAATATATTTTATAAAAGATTTGAAGTAGGGCAGCTGTTAGCTTTCTTTATTTACAGAACCACATTTTTTTTTCTGTTGTCATGTCTTTAGTATTTTTCATTGTCAGAAATTATAGCATTATTGCAGTGTACCATCCAGAGCACTGTGAATCACTTAAACCTTGAACCAGTTGCATAACATGGTGCCATGATTCTGTACAAATACAAAGCAAGAAGTTCTGCTATCTTCACAAGAATATACTGCTAATTCAAGTTGCTTCTAAGCAGCAACTTTTTTCTAAGTGTTTCCAAATGTCATTAATCACCCAGGATGATCACCTATCCTGAGTCTTACAGTCAGAATGCCCTGTATTTGCATTGCTGCAAATAAAGAAGGTGCTGAGATGTGATATACTCCATTTCAAAGTATATTTTTAAAAAATCAGCTCATTTTTTGTTTCCTTAATCATCATCTTTAATGGTATCTTTGCATTGCTTTAATATATGAGACTATATCTGAGCATAAAGCTATTAAAAAGACAAATATTTTATTTTGTGGCATTTTTTTTAAGACTTAGAACTGATTTTTCAAGCTATTTTGAAATGAAAATAAAATATTTTAAAATGTGCTTGCAGAACCAGAATTATGTCAACAGGTTTACTTCTTGATAAAAACGAACAAACAAACAAACAAAAAACAACAGCCTTTTATGTTTGCAAAGTGTTTTCTGTGTAAAATGAGCTCTTTTGTCAGAGAGGAAGAAAAGTTTTAACTCTCCCTGCTTCTTAAGTAAATCAGATTGGTGGTTAGGGTATTGGCTTTGTTTATTTGTGGATATCCAAGTACAAACATCTGATTATTATGTTTTGGGGTTTTCCACTTTCTAGAGTGTCAAACTTTGTACTTGTCCTGGAAGAAGTTAGATTAAGTTTTGGATAATACAGCCCTGTGAAAACAAAACAATACAAAACAAACCATAGCTAATTTCTTTCCAATATCCCATCTCCTAACCATGCATTGGTACCCATGGTATAGATACTAATTACAGTAAGGCTCTTCAAAGTGGAGGCCATACACCCTTTTTATCATATCTAAGAACATACAGAAAATGTAATATTTATTTCTTGCTGCAAAAATATGGAAATTTGGGGTCTGTTCCTCTACTGCCAACTTTCTTGTATGTTTTTGTGTGTATGTTCTTTGCTTGTTACTGTGACTTCCAATTATGCGTTACATTCATTCATTCATTCATTCATTCTCCCTTGCTCATGCTATGAGGAGAACTGGGCATGTAGCATTGTGTTTGTCATAGGACTTTTCTGCACAAGGGGATAGGGAGTGAGATAATAGTGCTAACTGAGCTTTGTTAAATATGATTGTTATAAATGAATGATGAAAGCTTTAAATTATTTTAAATAAATGCATTTTTTCTCAAGTATTCATTGCAGTCCTTCTTTGAATTTTTATTACAAAAATGTCAGTAATTGTATTAAATTTTTTTTTTGGGGGGGTTTCATTTAAATGTGGTATAAAATATCACTTGTAGTTAAAAAGGAAAAATAACCTTTTTCTACACTCCCATTACTCTGAACATATCTGTATCTGAAGTAATGAATATATTTTAAAACTTTCAGAAATTTCCAAGATACCTTTTGTGATTGTGTTGACAACCTTTTTTTCTGGGTGTTCTTTTCATGCAGTAGGTGAACATACAGAAGACATTGCTGAATTTGCAAATAGCTGGGCTGTGCAAACCCCAGATGATGCAGCTTGTGTACCTACTGCCTCAGATTTTTCCAGTCCTTGCTCAGCTGATGAAAAATCCACTGAGGTAAATTAATCATGTAGTGATTTTTTTTTCATCTTCACTGCATAGTGACAGTACAAGAATCTAGCCATATACACCATACTGAAAAAAAAAACCAACTCAAATTCATTGAGGCTTTGTGAAGATTCAGATCAGGACTGTTGCTAGGGAATATCTGAAGATCTTCTGAAGTTTAGCTTAAGAGTACAAATGTTCAGATAGGATGTGCCAAGTGGTACAAGTCCACTGGCAGAGCTCTTTATTGCTGCATTATTCCTGGGTTCAGTTACCAGTTCTGGCATCTTACACCTCATTATTTTAGAAATTGTGAAATATTGCAGAAGTACCATATTCCTGGATTGACATGAAAAGCTTTTTTTTTTTTTTTTTCTGTTAGTTTTCACTTTGCCATCTCAGCTCTATGCAGGAGCAGTTTGCAATCAAGACACTGCAAACAGAGAGGACAAATCTTAGGAAGTACAGTAAAGGAGACATAATAAAATGAGACTGTGAGATTCTCAGGTTTTAATGGGAATATAAGGGATCCTGGATTAGCTCAACAAATCAAAACAATTATGCTCACTCAGAAAGTATCTGCTAACTATTGTTTCCTGTTTCTTCTTAATGTGTAGGACATATTCTTCAAGTGCCAAATATTCCTACAGTTTCCTTTTTTCAGCTGTCATGAAAGCATAGATCCATATTCTTATATTTCTAGCTGTATGAATGATCTTTGCAGGTAAGAATGGAGTTCTTGTGTATTTATTTTTGATGCATGAAATGAATGCTCACTCTCTCTATTCAGACAAGAATTGAGCAGTACTGAGTGAAGTTAGTAGGAAATGAGTTCAAAGCGAAAGAGATGGGGTTTCGCTTAGTGGGTGGTTTACTGTGGAACCAGAGGACACACGACCTTTGTCTCTGCCAAGGAATAGTTTGATTGCTAAAGATTTACATAGATTCAAGGAAAAACTAGACAAATGCTTGGGAAAGAAATCTGTGGAAAATCACTAATGATAGAAGAGAGAGCTGCTAACCACTCACACACAATATACCTACATCTGGAAGTCTTGAATCAAAAATAGATGGAGATTGGGAAAATCTACTGGGGGAAATGTCAATGATACTGGAAGAGTAGGTCCATTTGTCTGACACAGTTGTACTATTCTTCTGATAAAAATATAGCAGAGTAACCTTTCAACTACTAAGTCATTCAACTTAGTAGGCTTTTTTCAAAATTGTTTTATTTGTATAAATTCAGAGATGTTAGAAGAACAGCACTCACTGGCTTTGGTGGGAGTTATATTACCTCAGTTGCTTGTGTTTTATGCAACTTGGTATTCTTCCCTTAGCTCCAGACTCCCATTTAGTTAATACCAGTTGTTCAAGCTAAACAGGTTCTCCAGAGCATAACTGAACAGAAAACTGAGCAATGTATAACTTCCTTTTAGAAAAGGTTTTATAACTAAGAAGTAATAGCAGATACTATGATGGCCTTCTCAGAGTATCATCAATTTAATCATGAGCGTACAGAAAAATTCACAAGACTAAAAGTAAGAACCATTTAGAAGCATCCATTACAACTTTTTAGTTCATTTTCAATGAATTTTTGACTTTCTGTTTTGCTACCAAATCAGTATGGAAGAATATGGGTTTGTAAGCAAGTCTCCAAAGCGTGCTTCCTGAAGTTGATGATCTGTACATTGATTTTGCTAAGAGAAGAGCTGAGCTGCCACTTCATAATTCAGAAGTTTATTGTGCCTCTTCTTTAGCAAAAGATGAATAATGAAAAGGAAATTTTCAAATGTGGCATTGAATCAGTGTCATGATGCTAAGGAGGATTTGATTTTTGTCAAATTGCATGTGTGTGTTGATATGAATTGTGTGAATGTTAAAAACCTTGAAGAAAGTTTCTGTGCCTGAGAACCTCATTAATTTAGGCTTATTTTGTTTATAAAAGAGACCTCTCTTCTTGTGTCTTAGTGTAAGTCTATAATGCCACTTGGCCACTGTATATGCCAAGTATTCTTTTTATTAAGACCCATTTAATTGGATTAGGTAAGGAGAACTGGAAGAGATTCTGATCACTGTCATGAAGAATATAGTGCTGTTTGATTTGATAATGTGTTGAAAGCAGAATACAAACACTATTTATTGTATTCTCAAGAACATTAATTTTGGAAGCTCGATCTTTTGTGCTGAAAGACAAACTCAGCTAATCTGTCCTGGTCATGCTTTACTAGAAATGTCTTGTTGTGACTAGTTCATTTTGTCATCAGGTTCACAATGAGTGACAAGAGTTGTTGAACTTTCACAGTAAAAAAAACCAAAACGGTGTCTTGCCTTATGTGGTTTGAATCTGAATATAATTTGAGGTTACCTAAATATTGATGAATGTCTCTTTACTTGACCCTGGCAAAAGTGCACTGTCTGGTTTCTTCTGTACAGACTAAGGTGGAGATAATTACTTTGTTCAAGGTTGCACTGTCTTGAAATTGTCTACAATAACTGGTTGATTATGCTTCTAGTGCCAAGCACTTCAGCACAAGGTCAGGAGGTTACCAACAGGGTTCTCCTCACCTAAGTTCAAGGACTAACTATAAATCAGAAACTTTAACTTGTTACTTGGCTCAGAATGTCTCTTATCAGTGTAGGTCAGAGTTTCCATGTCATACAGGAAGGAGAGAGACCAAGACATAGATCTTGACATCTTCATGACAAGGTCATGTTTCTCTTTCATCAAAAGCATATATTTTTTTCTTATTTTGTAATAAATTACTATTTTTGTTCATTGTGGTAATATTAACATGAAAAAAAGTTTTTGTGAGATCAACTGATAAAAACACAGCACTGTATTCAGTATAGTTTATCCCTCTTCACAGTATTTTCAATAAGTATGCCTCTATAGCTGAGCAGCCTCAGCTGACTGAACTATCCTGAGCAGTGTTTGGTGGCAGAAATTTGTAGATGGGATTTGAGTTTGGTAATTGCTCCCTCGTTTTATCATTTCAGAGTGGATGATGATGAAACGTACTGCAGAGCCGTGACAGAGTACGCTCGAGCATGCTCTCATGCTGGGTCCCCTGTGAGGGATTGGAGGGATGATTTTCCTGCCTGTAGTAAGACTCTTTAATAAAGCATATCATGTGAGCTTTGAAAAACCCCACATATCCGTTTCAAATAATTCCATCTTGACATTTGTTACTATAGGACTCAAACCTGATACCAAAGTAGATCATCCAGCTTCACTATTGCTGGTGAAAAATGAGGTAAATGATTTCCTAGAGGAATATTTTAATTACATTGTGATCTGATGCAGATCCATTCAAAATTCATGTTTGTGCAGATTGCTTGAAACTTCATGTATGCTGATCATATTCTAGGGGGAAGAAAAAACATCTGTGGAGATCTGATGTTGCCCCTCCTCCCAGCTGACCTTTCAGCCTCTACTGGCTCTATAGCAGAATGAATACAGTGAAACCAGCTCCTTCTAGTCATCACCACCACCCATGAAAAGCAGTTCAGTCTCATCCACAGAACTCTGAACTAGTTGAGATATGAGCACATGTTCCCCTGTCACAGAAATTATAACTTCTAGTGGAGAAGTGATGTAAGAACTTGATAAATAGATTTCAATACTATGACGTTGTCATAGTATACTATGAAATACTAGAATACATAGAAATACTGTGATGAGAGATTTGTCACAGTTCATCTGCTACAGTTTCTCCAAACAAACACTGTACCTGATCTGAATAATTACCTATACCAGAAGTGTTGCACAACTGTTCGTTCAGATAAATAGGAGTTCTCCAGTACGGGAAGAGAAATTACACTAATGTGCAATGTAATAATGTTCTTTTTTTTTTTTTTTTTCCTAGCTGAGACGTGTGAAGACAGCTTTGTACACCGTGATTGTATCAGTTGTTGTCCACCAACCTGCACCTTTGAAAAAGATTGTCTTGGCAGCAACTTGCACTGCTTAGATGGCTGTTACTGTCCAGATGGTAAGTACTGTTAATTTTAGGTGAAAAACATGTTTAAAGATACCATGCAGCATAATAATAAAGTTGTGTAAATAGACTGTGCTTAAAGTTAAAACCAAAAAATATGAATATTGTAACTTCTGCTTTAGCTGTTGTTACACTCACTGTGATTCTGCCTTTTGCTGTGTTCTAAACATTTATCTAGTCATTGTGGTTTAGGATGAAATATCAATTAAAACCTGGAGCCATAACTAATGCTCTCTACAACGAGGGATAGCATAAATTTAATCCACTTTATCTGAATGACTCCTAAACCGACTGAGGTTTTCTTTAAACAGAATGTATCTTACACTCTGTACAAGAAACCTTCTTTTGATCTGTACTAAACAAAAAGTAGGGACTGGACTATGAACAGTCCTATTCTGGGAGGATTGAAGATTATCTGTTCTCAGAATCTTTGTATTTTTGACTCTACAGTTTTACACACTTCAGGCATGTATTTTTCATAAAGCAACCATTCAGAGTGAAAACTGCTTTCAGAGAGTTGTATTGTTGATTGCTCTGGGCCATCTGCATTCACTAGGTGACTCTTCATGTTGGTCCCTGGCTAAGACTGATGAGCTCACCTTCTGGCATATTTGAATATTTGAGTCAGATGGGGGAACAGCAGTGATCTGGAGTCCATTAACTTGTTTTTAATCTCAAATATAAACTTCCATCCCAATAGGTCTCATTATGGAAAATGGAACTTGTATCTCCGTGTCAAATTGTCCTTGTACTTATCATGGAACTGCCTTCTCTGTAGGCTCAAAAATTGAACAAGAATGTAGTAATTGGTATGTAAAAGCCTCATGTTTGTGTTTCCTCTGTCTGTGACTCTAGTCTGTAGTTAATTTAACATGACAGTCACACTCAAAATTTAAAGAATAGTTAGTGTTTATGCTTTACAGTCAGAGCTCTGTGTATCACCAAAATACACAGACTATTTTATGGAAACTGTGAATTCAAGACCTGTTAACTATCTCAAAGCTTCTCTTTTTGATAAATGTCAAAACAGTGAATTTCTATATTTTGTGATTTTTCTTTTTAGTATTTGTACTGGTGGCATTTGGAACTGTACCGATCATGATTGCCCAGGTATATATTTAAAGATTCCTTTCTCTCCTCAGTAAACATAAGAGATAAACTTTTCAAAAGACAACAGATTCAAATACAGTCTAAGAGTTTGGGATGTGATTTTAAGAAAGATTTAGCAGATGCATGCCCAGCAGCATTGGGCAAGCTGAGGCAAAGCTGTTAACTGTCTGACAGTGCTAACTGTGCTTTTTCCTATTTGGTTCCATAACTCAGTGTGTTACATTCACCTTTTCTCTTCTATCTCTTACTTGCACTCTAAGTGCTTGGGGACAGGCACCTTATTCCACAGACCGGCACCACACTATCTGTACGGTGGGCCATGTTTAAGGATGTCCTCACTTCTAGATACTGCTGTAATGCAGAGAACAAGAGCATTATTCTAATGCTCAGAATGCTATCTTGTCTCCCTTGTAACAACAGTTCATGTCTCGATCATCATCTTTTAAGATTGCATGCCTCTGTAATGAGTTACTCAGACAAATATCTATTAGTCAAGTAGAGGAACTCCCTTGTCAGTTCTGTACTTTACACAAGATTATGCTATGAAACTTCTGAAATATATATATATATATATATTTTACAAATTAAGGAAACCCTTTTGAATGAGGTAGTAAACAAGACTTAGCTGGTGCTAAAAAAACAAACAAACAAACAAACAAAAAAAAACCCTTAACTGGGTGGATCTGTAGAGTAAAAAAGCTGACACGGAACCACACCATATGTGTCTCGTATTTGTTGTGTGTGCCTGTGAGGGGTTGGTTATGATTAGTCTTATCCTAGGGACTGAATGCTTATTAACATTGGGAGAGGGTTAGTTGTGCTCTGCTGTGGCCTCATGAACTGAACCAAGGTTGGCATGTATGTGCTGGAGACTTGCTTCAACAGTGCACTCCTGATCTGAACTGAAGCATGAATATAGATGCATCCTGAGGACAGAGAGTGTCCTCTGCTCACCTGGAATTCAGGACAGCCCCCATATTCGGACACGGCATCTCCATGCCTGCAGTAACAGGCTCCCTGTGAGGGAGGAGAAAGAAGCTTGTTCTCTCCTTTACATTCAATCATGTCAAAAGATGAAGATGATTCCAGGAAACTTCAGTTGTAACAAAGAAAAAGCTCTGTTTTTTTAATTATCTCTTTCATGTATTCTAGAGAATTTGTGACTCATATCTCACTCTAGTTAGAACCAAAGCTGCAAATGGGTACGTGCAACATACCTAAAATAGAAATAAGTGTCTATAATATATTTCACTTCCAAATGCTGTAACAGCCATAAAGATTAAAGCTAGACTGGATTATGTGCCAAAAAAAATAAGGGGAGATTTATTTTTTTTTTTAAATTATATTATATTTCTCATTTACAGAATGACAGTAACTTCTTATGTCAGTGAACATTCTTATTTATCCTTTTTCTCTCAAGCCGAATGCTCCATCACAGGTAACTCTCATTTCACAACATTTGATGGACGCCATTTTACCTTTCTTGGGATTTGCCAGTACATTTTGGTAAAAGGCACTGGGAAAAACAAATTCACAATCACTTTACAGAAAGCATCTTGTGGACAGGTAAGTCACACTGTTATTGAACTTCCATAACAAACACATGGTTATATATTTCATATGTATTTACTTTTGTAAAGGTGCTACTGTAAGCTAGCAGATTATGGTAACAGAAAAATATCATAAATTGAAACCTTTTCACATTTTTTTTTTAAGTTGTCAAATTACTACATGTTTTACTGTCCTTTGTAAAAGCAATGACAACTTTTGAAGGATTAAGTCTAAAGAGTTATTAATTTACACACATTAAATAAATATATGTTTCTATGTTTACAGTACAAACAGTTGCATAAAGCTTTAGAACAGCTTTTGCTGACTGTATGGAGCATGCTTAATACATTGAAAATTAGGCAAGAGATTTTTTTTATAGCTTTTGATATGTATTTGTTATGTTATAGCATATTTACATTGTTGGAACCATTCCTTTTAGAAAATTATTGAAAAGACTAAGCACTATACATATTTGTTTGAAAGTATTTTGGCCGATATTCAATGACAGGTCATATGAATAGATGTGCTTATAAAAAGTACTTATTTGTTAGACTTGATTTAAAGACATTTTTAATCAACTAGGCTGTTGGGGAAAGGACTCTGAGACTGCCTCACAGCAGCCTGTGTGCTGGTGTCTCTACTTTTCTGTACATATCTTCTTCTGCATAGGTGTTGAGATTCCTTTTTCTGCATGTCAGGTTGGCCTCAAGCATGATTGTCGCGTTAAAGGGGTGTAGCTGATTAACCGTTACGGGCCCGGTTGGATTCAGAGTACTGAACCAGTCGGACATTCACCAAAACTGGGGGTCCGTTCGGACATTCACCAAAAACGTAATAACCACCTGGGGGTCCGCTCAGACATTCACCAAAAACGTATTAACCACCTGGGGGTCCGTTCAGACATTCACCAACAATGCATTAACCGTCTGGGGGTCTGGTTAGATTCAGAACACTGAACTATCACGGATAACCACCCTCACCCTAGTTGCATTAATGAGAGCTATCACAATGCAATCAAGTATGGTTTATTACAGCAACAGATAATCAGGTTCTTTTGGATTGCCGGTGATAGTGACTATCTGCAAAAGCAAGCTAGTATGCATGAAATACACAGGTGTTACAGGTGTTCTAGGTGTGGGTTCTAGGTGTGGGTTCTAGGTGTTGGGTTCTAGGTGTTGGGTTCTAGGTGTGGGTTCTAGGTGTTGGGTTCTAGGTGTGGGTTCTAGGTGCGGGTTCTAGGTGCGGGTTCTAGGTGTTGGGTTCTAGGTGTTGGGTTCTAGGTGTTGGGTTCTAGGTGTTGGGTTCTAGGTGCGGGTTCTAGGTGCGGGTTCTAGGTGTTCTAGGTGTTACAGGTGTTCTAGGTGTTACAGGTGTTATAGGTGCGCAGCCTAGAAATAAACGTGTTAAAAGGATCAAAGACTCTATAGAGATTTATAAGCAAATATTCAGATCTCACCCAAAGGCGTCCCAATGGGGGGGGAAGAGAGGCTCAGCCCGTCGACTGATCCCAGGAGTCAGGAGGTCCTAAGGATGTTGTATGTCCTTGGGATGGTATCTCCCCTGACAATGGTATCTTCCCTAACATCCCCTCTCTCTTGGGCCAATTTATATTATTTTCTATCTTTTAGGTGGAGCTTGAGTGGCTCTAGTCAAGCATATCTTAGTTATGATTGGTGTAAAGTTTTCCCGTCTCCGTTTAAAGTAATAGGCTCCGAGAAATTCAGAGCGCATGCTCAGTGAGGGGTGGTCGCACCTTGGAGGCGGGTAGCTTTTGGGATGGAGGTGTGTTTTGGTATTATAATGATATTATAATGAGCAAAAAGAACACTAGGGTACAGCATTTGTCAAAACATGACAGGTCTTTGGCTTAGGGTGGCAAAAAGTGCAGCTTTGTGCACAAGAACAATTGAGGCCCCACCTGATTACAGAGCCTAGCTGTGGTGTCTCCACTCCACTCCACGCTCCGTGGTGTTCCTTAGAGCTAGCACACCAAGTTTCCCCAGCGCGATAGCATCTAAGGTTGGGAGCCTAGGGAACGCTCAGATAATGCAGTTATGCCCTACCCTGAAAGCCTCTTCAATGCTGTACCTTTTCCTTAAAAGTGTGAATGTTAATTTTATTTTCCTAGTTACTTCAGGCATTTACACCACAATGATACAGTTGGTTAGGTAGCCACTGAGAGATAAGGCTGCTACTGAAAATGACCCTTAGCACAACTCTAAGCAACTTAAAAAGTACTTGTGTGAAAACATAGAGGCCCGGGGGGGGAACATAGGTTGGTTTTAGTTGGCTATGTGTCACCATTTGTCCTGTAAATGTTTTCATAAATTCTGCTTGAACAGCACTTTACAATGATGGATGTTAGTTTACATGCCATCATTTTTTGATAGTCACACATTTATAAATTATTTTAGTATAATTCTAGAGAAATTATATCCTTTTGTTTGCAGTCAGAGGTCATGACTGTGTTTCAAGGAGGAAGAGAAGCACCTCCAGAACTGCAATAGTTTCTTTCTACTGCAGTACTATGTTTGGGCTCTGGTTGCACCAGCTTAGCCCAGATGTCAGAATTTTGCTGACACTGGATAATCCAGCAATGAAGAGAGCCCAGGGTGGATGTGCAAGTATGATCTTGTGAACCCAGTATCAATTCTTGGGGATCTCTGTCTGCTTACTATTAGACTGCCATAATAGCTAAAATGCATTCACCTCATTCTTACATCCATAAGCAATGTTTTATTAAGTCCTGCATTTAATTTTGGGTACTCAGTTTATTGCTTTGAATAATAGTTTACACCTGATTTACCTGATGACAGTTCTCTCATTTTCTTTTTCTGTTCTCTCCCAGTTTGCTTTTGCTTTCCATGCTAATATTGCCTTTGTTCTCTTTCTGATGGTGAAATTTGTTTCTCCTTAGAACTTTGATCATGCCTGCATTGAGTCTATAACACTAGTTCTTGAAGATGATATGAGCAAACAAGTGACTCTTACAAGAAATGGTCAAGTCCAAACTGGTCCTAATCAAGCTTTTAATCTTAATGGTAAGAAATAAATTGAGTAGAGTTTTACCAGGATTCACATTTCTTCTTTTATATTCTCCAAAGCTTTTTAATTATATCTGTTTATCAGAAAAGGAATTTCTTCAAAGATAACATATGAAAACTACAATCACTTACTTTTAATAACCTTTGTATTGGTTCCAGAAATATACCATTTCACCTCATGAAACTACGCCCTCCTTTCTTTGCATTTCTTATCTTGTAGAGTACCTTGAAATTCCACTCATCTGGTTTGTGTCTGTTTAGGGGGGAGGAGGTAAGAAAAAAAAAATAACACACACACACACACAAAACAGAAGTTAAGAGAGGTTGAAAGTTGAAAGGTTGATGTTAAGGTAGATCTTGACTGAAGTTTTTTAGAATGAATTGCATGGAATAGAATCCATGCACTCAGTGGGGTCTATGTTGCTTTCAAGGCTGACTGATGATCTTGGGCAGGTATCTTCACATTTTTGAAAAGGATAGTAAGATAAATTTACCTTGAAAGGATGTTATAAAATCAAGCACTGAAGGTGGGAATGATATAGCTAAATTTTGTATCTCAAAATGATCAGTAATAATTTCTTACTGGTGATACTATACCAGTCCTTTCCCAGCCTCTGGCAGTCAGGAGCTTAGGGAGTTCTGAGCTATTGGCTGCAACTATTTCTTTACTTCATTGGATTTTACTAGTCATAGTTTTGCTTTTGGCATTCACGGCATCCTATGACAAAGAGTTTCACAGCTCAGTTATACTTTTAATCATATCAAAATTCTGCTTCATAATTTTTCTGGTAATTTAATTTCTTCTGAATCAGACCTTATTGACTTGTCCCTTTTCACAGTCTATGACAAATGCTACCTATGACAAATGTTTTAGTGTCACATTCTTGATAATTACCTGTATCTGTTAAGTCTTATCAGCTCACATAAGCATTTTATCTTCACTGTCTGTATATCTCTGTGTGTAGAGGCTGCTGTGAAGACAGACCTGATTTAAGTCTGCAGCTGCAAGTAGCCAAACAATGTGTAGCAAAGGAATGCTGTGACTGTGAAATTTCCATTTCCTCGCATTATGGATGTGCTAGGAAGGGGAGCTGGGAATTTGATAGGGCCTTAGTTCACATACAATCTAAGTATGTATGTGTATGTATGAGATATGCTGATGTCATATCAATAGCAGTAAGAGAGAACCTTCTATCTGAAATCTGAAGATTGCAATGAACTTTACAGACATCTGTTAATTTATCTTATAACATCCCTGAAGGCTAAGGAACAAGTGGTTTCTTGTCTTGTCTTCTTGTTACCAGAGGCATGCTGTTGCATTGCTTTTTGTAAAAAAAAAAAAAAAAAAAAAAAAAAAAAAAAAAAAAAAAAAAAAAAAAAGTGCATGTGGTTTCTGGATAACTCACAGGTACAGAAAGGTGAGATTTTTTTTACTGTTGACAGTAGCTGCAATACCTGATTTGTGTTGTTAATGAAAAAGATTTGTAGTCTTACAATTTTTGATAATAGAATAGAATGTGCAAGGTTATTTGGCTACAGGTGAGGTTGTACATAATCTATTTTATTTTAGGGATGAATGTAGAATCTGGAAATGGATTTCAGTGACCACTTTTCTTTTCTTTTGCTATTTGCAGGGGCTATTGAAATTCGGAATATATCTTCCTTGTTTGTTCAACTAAAAACTACGTTTGGTTTGAAGATACTGTTTGCTAAAGATGGAGAGAGAATCTATGTTCAAGTTGATGTCAGCTGGAAGAGAAGAACATTGGGACTATGTGGAACTTACAATGGCAATTTAAGAGATGATTTTCTGTAAGTTACATACAGTACATTTAGACTGTTTTTAAAAACAAGTGAAAAGTTTTGTTGAATGTAATCACCTCATATTTTTATGTCATTAATTCTGTTGTACTTTATTAAAATAACCAATACAAAATATCTTAATTAAAACTTAGGCACTTCTAAATATAAAACTCATTAGCTAAGTCATTCTAAGACATTTAACTAAGTTGTTACAGAAAGCTTGAAGATAGGTTATTGGATCATGATATTGCTTGAATGCACGCTTTTCCCTCCCTGCTGCTCCCTAAGCATCAGAGCAAATAAATGAGCACTGATAAAAGGAGTGGATGACAGTACTAGTAGAATCCTCACCTAATTAACACCTACTACTGTTTGATTTTGTTTTCCCTGTATCAAGTTCTAATGGAAAAATGTATTCCTGAGCCACAGGAATAGTTTAATTAGAAGGGTACATTTGCTTTATTCTTTGACTTCATTTTCACCAGAGTTCTCCAAGCTATTATATCATGAAACTTTTCTAACAATAATGAATTATTTTGAAATATGTAGTGAAAAACGTAATCAAAATGCAAACTGCCCCCTTCTAGAATGCTGAAATAAGCTAAAGGGTTGATTTTCTGACATTCCACTGAAAAAAGACCAAATTCTTCTCTCATTAATGCCTCATCCAACTTATTTCAGAGTAATTGCATAAAGTGTAAAGGAGGGCAGACTTTGAGTGTTAAGAGTATTTTTGCATGAGCAAAATATTGAGAAAAATCTTCACATATTCTCTCTTCTAAAAGAAACTGTCTTAACAGTTTCTGTCTGTACTTAACAGACAGAAATTCTTTTGACATGTTGAATGTTGAATGTCTCTATGCATCTAAGGCTTTTTGATGTACCTTGTACACATGTCCTCATGTGTAGTCTGTGAGGGGAGCAGGATGCTTGCAGCGTTGATCTTTTCATTTTCAGTTCTCCAGCAGGGATGATAGAAGGGACCCCACAACTTCATGCCAATGCATGGAAGGTTTCCTCAGCTTGTTCTGTGCCTATCAACATTCCCGTGGTTGATCCCTGCAACATTAATCAGCAAAATGGTATGATTTCACAGGGCAATCTGGAATTATTTGTATCTTATTGCTACGGGACATTTTTGTTTTATCTGTGAGTGAGTTTCACTGTTACTATTCATTAATGAATATGTATATGAATATAAAACTCATATAAAACTTAAGTTTTAAATGCACATGCTTCATTTTCCTTTTCTGTTTTGGTAAAGATGATTTTTTTCCACACATTTAGCAAGTAAACTAAAATAAGTAAGTTGATCATTTTATGCTGGGCATACTGGCCACAAGCCCTAAATTTTGCTGTCCAGAATATGTGCAGAACGTTAGGCAGAATGGTGCAGTAGTCTTGTACTGTAGTCTTGCAAGTTGTGTTCAGATCAAAAGTCCTGTCTCTGGCTTCTCCATGCTTTTCTAAGCTGTATTTAAAGGTTTCCTTATCCTCCATCTATGGTCTCTCACACAAACCAAGACAAACAATTTGAGATCTGCAGATTTGTTCAAATTCCTGACTGAAGATTTACTTTTGGCTTGTTGACATGCCCACATTTTATGTTCAACTTTCACTGTCTCCTTTCCATGTTGCTGTTCTTTCCAATTAATGAAGACAATAGAGCAGAGAGCAGTTGCCAATTCTGACAGAATTTAGTTTGATGTTTTTAATGTTTCAGAAGTAAGGATGTGGGATTTGGCCATATTTAATGGGAGTGAGCCCAGAATAACCGTAAACCTTTAAGAATCTGGGGCATTATAAGACTGTTTATGCCTCCAGCATTGTCTGTCTTCTAAAGCAGTATATGTCAGCCAAGTTAGCTCTATACAAGATACTTTATGCCTTACCTTCAGTTCTGTGTTTCCTCAGAGGAGGTGGAGTTTGACGTATAACTAAGCTGCTTACAGCAGGAAGGTGGACTAGATAACCTTCTGAGGTCCCTTCTAACCTGCATTTTCCTGTGATTATGGAAAAAACATTCCTCAGCTACATGGTGCTGTTGCATGTTATCACCTGTGCTGAGCCAGCAGAAGCATCTTTTCAGTCCTGCCACGATCTGTTTGTTTACTTATATTGTCAGGCTAATTTTCAGTCAAGTCACATACATTCACTCCTTGAATCTTGTTTATGGATGGACTCCAGAAACCCTTGTGTCAGTGTGTAATATAGGAATGAACAGAGAGGAGGAAGGTTAGGGACACTCTTTTAGCAGCAAAATTGGTTTAAATATGACCCACTCTGTGGTGTTCCTGAGACATTCCACCATTGTAATGATAGCATGTTCCAGTGGCAACAGTAGGGTCTGTTGGTACTAGAAGGTATATGGCTAGCTTGGGGCTTGTATGCTCCTGAGTTCCATTTTGCAATGCTTGCTGAGTTGACATGCCAAGAACAATATGGATGTTACCAATTTCAAAGCTAAATGAAACATTAAGTGGGAAAAAACATATTCCAAGCTTTGGAGGACTTTGTCAACTCCCTTGAAATATATTATATTGCCATTTACATTTCCTTCATTGCTATAGGAAGATTTTTTAATTATATTTTTTTTAATAATTAACTGTTTTAAGTGGAGTTTGTTGAAATAACATAACAATCTTAAACCATAGAACTTTTCAGAAATACATTGATACATTGTATAGAAGATTTTGTTGTACAACTGGCTGATTATGTTTGGTGTTAATATTCTGTGCTATTAATTTGATTAATTGCTATTTTAACATGGATCTGGCTAAAACAATGTCACTTTATTTTAGTTGGGTATGCTTCTCACTGTGATATCATAAATCAAGAAGTTTTTGCTCCCTGTCATGCCTACATCAGTCCAGCATTATACTACCAACTATGCCGCTTTGATGCCTGCAAATGCGGAAGCAGCTGTTTGTGTAATGCTCTTGCACACTATGCTTATGTCTGTGGAAAGCACGGCATTGCCGTGGACTTCAGATCTCATATTTCTTACTGTGGTGAGTAATGTTTGCGAAGTAGACACTCTTTTAAAATGTGTTAAATTTTAGAAATGTCACTGGCTTCATGAAATATAGCAATTGGTGATTTTATGGTGGAAGCTAGAATTGTGCCAAGGGCTAAAATTTTGCTCAGGGGGAGAATGCTGGTAGCCTTATGTTAGGCATTTGAGTAAGGGACCCTGAGCTGACTCACAGAGGTGTCTGTCCCTTTCTGCTGCACACATTAGGCTACAGCCAGTAGTAAACAGTGTCAGGAAGCAGCAGAAGCAGGGCTGTTCCCTAAGGGGAGGTGAAACAGGGTGGTGAGAACTGCCCCAGCGTGGGCATGGATTTTCCAAATGGGATACAGCATATTTGTGGCAGAACAGGGATTTGAAAGAGGACATTTCCAAATCATAGAGTGATGCCTTAGTTTTAACTGGACCATTGTTCCTCAATGAATGGAGATACACACCACTCACACATACACACACACAGAAATAGAAAATAGACTTAATTCCAGCCAAGGATTTTTCTAACATAAGGCCATCCTGAACATTTCTAACTTTAGAAATCAATTAACTAGTTTATTTTTCTCATGCATTTTAACTCACTCCAGAACAGCAAAGGACCGTTTTGCACTGCTGTTTTGGTGTCCCATGATATACTGTTTTGTTTTTTATTTTTCACATTTTAAGAGTATGCTGTTTTCCCTTCTCTCTCCCTCTCTCTCTCCCCCAGCTGTGATGTGTCACAGTGGTATGCTTTATCATCAGTGCTCTTCTTTTTGTAAACACTCCTGTGCTTCACTTTCTACGGCAAATATCTGTGGTGATGACTGTGCAGAAGGATGCAATTGTCCTGATGGGAAATACTTTGAAGAGTCGGTCAACTTTTGTGTATCAATGTAAGTCATACTAAAATAGAATATGTGCGTAGGCACATTTTTCTCTTTCCAGCAAGACTGAAAATAGTTTTTCTGCTGTTTCTCTCAATATGTAGACTGCCTAAGAAACGGAATAGCAAGCAATACATGAATATTTTTTACTAGGACCTGTAGTGACAGGACAAGGGGCAACATAAAGAGGGAAGATTTAGATTGGATATAAGGAAAAAAATCACAATGTGGGTGCTAAGACACAGGAACAGGTTGCCGAGAGGGGTTGTGGATGCTCTGTTATTGCAAGTGTTTGAAGTTGGGTTGGATGGAGCTTTGCATAACCTGATCTGGTGGAAGATATTCCCAAGCAGCAGGAGGCTTGGACTAGGGGATCTTTAACCATTCAATGATTCTGATTCTAAGATTTCATACACTGCTATGTACTAATCAATAGTGGAGCTTCTTCCACTATGTACACTGTATTGTCTGTAAAGCCATCTAGGGAACATCAGAGAAAATATGTCATACTGCTTTAAAGAACGGTGATGAAACCTTTTTAATTCATGGGGAAGTATTTTCACATGAAACGCTTGTTTTTAACACTTAAGAAAAAATTGGAAGGGATGCACATAACAGCAATCCATGAAGTCATAGTATGGAGAAAGTGGCTAAAGGTATTTTTACTTTCTCACAATGCAAGAATTTCCAGTTAGATGGAAGGAAATAGTCAATGAAAGGATATAGTTTCTGTAATTGTGTACCTACAGCTTGCAGCTTACAACTGTGGGTAGTTACTGAGCTCAGGTACTGAGTAAAAACTAGAATGAATATTTATACAAATTTCAAGATTATTCAGAGATATTGCTGTTCATTGTGACATATATTTTGTAAAGATCTGTAAAGTTCATACAGTTGGGATGAAGACTGCTTCAAACAACTGAAGAGTGTGAGGTAACCAGGTATTGCTATATTACTGGGCGGCTTCTAGGAAATTCTGTTACTACTTCTGTCCTGTCTGGCTGGAACCCTGTCAAGGTCAGGATTAATGGATTTTTCTATGACAATTCCTCTCTCCTATGATTTTTAAACTACTTTGAACAGGAACTACATGTTGCCATACTACTCCCATAACTAGGGAGGAATGCTTCTTTCTATAAGACTGTAATGCACAGAAATAGAAAATACATCACACGAAGATTGAGGAAAGGCCTGTTTTTTTTGAAGTTGGTGGGTGTATTGCCACTAACCTCAATACAGCTAGAGTGTTATCCTTTAATGTTAGAAGTCTGTTGTAAATATAAATTAAAAGCATAGTATGGAATGGAATGGAATGGAATGGAATGGAATGGAATGGAATGGTCCAGATGAAGGGACCTTCAAAGAGATTGAATTAGTGAATTACAAAGCCTTCTTATCATAATAGCTTGATAATTGCCCTTAAATCCCATTTCATTTTGCTTTTGTATCTGTATGTGTAAATATTCTTTTAACAGATCTGCCTGTCGTTGTCATTACAAGGGCAAAGCCCTACAGCCTGGAGAAATCCTCCCTACACCAACAGGATCCTGGTAGGTTTCAGTGACAAGGGTTTTATCTTTTGTGTATTACAGCTCAGATGCTACTCAAGAGTCCTGAGATTTGCTTGTTTGTTTGTTTGTTTTTTCTTCACATAGAATGAAAGTCTCTTGTATCAAGATTTGATTTCTTTTAGACACTTATTGATAGGTAGCTTAATATAAATTGTATTGTATACTCAGTTATTTTAAGAAGAAGATACCATAAATATTCTGTAAGCCAGGGACTAAAGAGTATCTCAAAATACATGCATCAAGATTGCAGTGCTGTTCTTAGACTTGGGGCATTATGATAGCAAAGTGAGGCTGGTATCCAAAGAATAAACAATGTGATTCTATCTTGGGAAGTCTTTCAAACAAAGGCCTGTAGGGAGCTATATTTGTGTCATTTTGTATTATGAATTTGTGATGGAATCATGACCTCACTGAAATGAGTGAGGAAACCTCCCAGGTTTCCCAGTCAAACTTGTTCATTTTACAAGGAGTGCTCTCAATCTGCTAATTAAAAAACATGTCTGGGACCTGAGTGTCAAGACTGGCTCTTGGTGAGGTCTCATATATCGCAGTTGTTATAATTGAAGCTTTGTAATCATGCAGTTGAAGAGGTGAGAGTGGGGGTTTCACTTTCTGTTATTCCTATGCTCTGTTCTTTACATTTTATTTAATGAGGAAAAAAAATAAAGTAGACTAGTTCTGTTGTCTAATGTGTTTTTCTGCTATTCTGCATTTTACTACCAAAAGAATAAAGCTGTGTATCCTACCTTCTCTGCAACAAGCAATTTTGCATGCTGTAGCCTTCTGTATTCACGAGGGCAGATAAGGTTTTGTGTTACACTGCCAGCATCCTGAACCACCTGGTCCTATGTTCCCAGAGAGACTTAAGTACCCAACTAATTTTTTATTTTGGTGAAACTTAGACAGTTAAATAGTACCTAAGCACCTTTGTGAATCTGGGCCTTCATTACACATCAGTATTTAGAAGAGCCAAGAAAATGTTGGTCAGAACTTGCACTTTCAGATTTTAATCACTGTTCTCCTCCTGATTTCTGTTGTATAAGTCGGGGGTAAATTGTATTTTTTTATTATTATTATTATTTTTCAAACGTGGTGGCTATGTACATTTTCCCATAGAATAAAGATGGGTTCGCTTTTCTTTTAATCAGCCAGTGTTTGAATGGAACAGTGAGATGTATGGAAGCTACTACAGACAATACAGGTAAATCATCTTGTCTATTCTTACAGTTGCACAGAGGAAGTTTTTGACACTGAATAATCATTTTTTACCCTCATGTCTACAATAATTTTGATACACTTAATGTCCTGACGTATTTTACATAGGAGATTAGTAGCACAACTTGCTTTTTTTTTTTTTTTTTTTTTTTTTTTTTTTTTTTTCTGCTGGTATAGTAAAAATTGTACTGCTTTGTCACTTGGGATTTTTTTTTGTTTTTAAATGCGAGGTGTAGGTCAGGATGTTTAGGAATACCTAAATTAAGACTTGGTATCCAAATTTTAGGACCTTGATTTCTAGCAAGTAAATTTTAAGGAAATTTCTAGTGAATTCAGAAGGGATTTCAGTATACTGAAAACTGCCACTTCTAAAGAACCTGCCCACCCTGAGGCATAATGAGGCATTAATTCCTTTAAGAATGGACTGTGTATTAGATCCAGCGTGCATAGATACAGACGCTTAACATTAAATATTTTTATTGTTTTACATTAAAACATATATCGCTATATATTCCTGTAAAAAAAATGAATCTATAGACTTACTCAGAATGTATTCCTGTATGCACTATGTTGTATGCTAACAGTGCACTAAAATAAATAGATTTTGAACTAAAACATGTAGAAAGTAGTCAGTGTAAGGGAGCAGTTAATCTCATTTAACCTGTATTTTACGGTTGAAGTTCACACATGCCCAGAAGGGAAAATCTACTATGACTGCAGATCTCCTGCACCTGGATTACCGGCAGCAGGTGTGAATTGCGGGATCTCCTGTGCAAACCTTGCCATGAACTTCTCCTGTGTCCCCTCACCACCCTGTGCCAGCGGCTGTATTTGCCCCCCTGGGTAAGCTTCAGCAGCATGTTATGTGCATATTTTTTACAATTTGAATCTGTGTATTCCTCTTTTTAAATTCCACTGGCATCACACCTCTAATTTTGAAACTTTATCAATTGCTCTATCTATTTTTGAAAATATAGTTACATTTAAAAGACCGTCTCTTTTGTCTCTCACAGTCCTCTTCTCCTTCCTGCTGATATGAGGCTCCATGCTTTCATGGAGTCCCATGGTATTTCCATCCTGATACCATGATTCCAGTATCTCATGAGATACCCAGCTTACACAAACAGTCTGATTAACTGGTATTTGGGACTGTCTGGACAGGGGACGATTCCCAACATTTGCTCAGTACAGGTTATTATGAGTGTAGAAGCAAACATGACATAAATCATAAAGTAAACTATCTGTGTTCCTGCCTACTGCACAAGTAATTGTCTCACCCAGACTTCTAGTCAGGGTTATGGTATTGATGGGGGGAGGGAGGGAGGGAGGGGGTATGAGCTGTATCCTGCACACTTCCTCTTCATTCACTCTCTGCTCTTTTGAACTCAGCCAAAGTTTTTGTTCTCTCCACTCACATATTTTTATTTGCTGCCCAGAAACAGTCTGCTGAGCTCTGTAGGGGTCAAATCAAAGCATGAAAGCTAAAAACACTTGTTGTGAAGTCTCTGTCAGGATCTACTACCACTCCCTCCTTCCCCCGCCTGTCCCCCCTCCAATACCTCCTGTGTGCACTTTCAGATTTGAGTCTTGCTGCAATTTGACCTCAAGTGGATTGCTCACCATTTTTTTTTTAAATCAACATTTGATTTTATTTCCCTGAATAGTAGTCAATGGTCCCCTGACAGTATACTGGTTGTGCACAGATCACAGTGTAGTGAGACTGCTAGAATTGCCCTTCCAAAAACTTGTAATGTTCCCAGATGACTAAGCACTACTGTGAATGGTAGTGAAACCCTTTCCTTTGGAAACACATGGCAGGACAAACTCTGTTATGCAAAGAATGGTCCTCTTAAAACAAAAGTGCTTTAAATTTTCTATTCTTAAAGCTCTTACACAACTTGTTTTTCTTTTAGCTAGTAATTAAGGAGGTGGCAAAGAAAAAGAAATGCTGAAGCTCTCTGGAATGTTCTATAAAACCTGAATAGCACAGCTCAAAATTTCATGAGGAAGTGAGCTGAGAATCCCAGTAATTTCATCATCCAAAGCTGTCCTTAAACTTAACCTAACACTGAGATAGAGTTACAAGGGTATTGTCGAATCACAGAAGCAGAGTAATATGGAAAGGACCTCATGGGGCCACCTAAGTCATTCTCCTGCCTTCAGGTAGTGTCAGCAGTACCTATATTCTTGGCAGATTTTAAATTCACTTCCATTCATGGAAACTCTAAATGACCTTCCTAAGGCATTCATTCTAGTGCTTTCCCATTTTAATCATATTTATGAATATTTAAGTTGACTTTCCTTAAAACCAATTATCTTTAACAAACCTTTAATAATGTGGAGAAGAAAACTCTAATCTGTGTATTCCTTTTAATTTCAGCTTTAGCTTCAAGTGAAGCAATCTCCAGATCATATTTGAGAAAAAAAAACCCTCTGCTTCTACTTTTAACAGTTGCAGTGACAACTGCAGAAAGTGCTCCCCTCCAGAGCAACACCAGCAGTGTATCATTTTAAAAAAGTTAATGCTGCCAAATAGTAGGAAAGTCGGAGACAGCAAAAAGTAGTTAGCCACATCTCTGGGTCACTTATTCATGATCTAGTTGGAATTGCAACTTTTTGCATTAAATGGTCTAACCTTGCCAGTTGTTTCAATTTCCCTGGTGTAGGCAAGTAACCTTCAGCACTGCCCTTGTAAGCAGTATTTTGTTGATTCTGCCAACTCTGCAACAGCTAGCATAGCCCGACTCGCTCCCCTGTGCTTAGAACAGGGTGAGTGCTGCTCTGGACAGAGGAGCAGGCATGCCAGTCCGACTGTTTCTCTGGTACATGAGAACGATGGAGCAGCACAGAGGGAAGGGCAGCCTGGCTGTAGTCTCAGCAGCGTGCATAACACAAGGATGCTGTATAGTTAGGTGGGGCACTGCCCTTGAAAGATACTTGATTTTGCAGTTGCAGTTTGCAGGGAGGAGCATCTACACTACCTGTGCTCTTGCAGAGGAGCTGCCGCCTCACACCAACATCCTGTCTTTGAGGTAGAAGGAGGAGCCATACCTGTGAGCTTTGCGAGGTCTCCAGTGGTGCACAGAGGACACTTTTTGATCTGGGCAGCTTTTGCTACTGGAAAAATTGTCCCTGGCTGGATGCAAGGCCAGTTGCCCTTGATGTGATTTGGGCATTGATCTATGTTGATATACTTAAGAATTTACTTTTTCATCTTAATAATTTTTTTATTTCAAAGAATGGCTGAACACAGAGGGAAATGTTATATTCCTGACAGTTGTCCATGCACCTGGAAAGACAGGGAATTTTTGTCAGGAGAAGTCATAGCTACGCCTTGTTACACTTGGTGAGTGGCATGCATTTTACATATTTCCAAATCATCCCAGTCTAGTCACGCAATGAAACTGGCATAGAAAATGTGTTGAGTAAATTGAAAATCAAAAATGTATACGCTTGTTTATAGACAGTTGCAAGAAATATCTGTTATTAGGCTCAATAACAGTCTTGGAAGAATAGACAGACTCGGGTGAGTGCTTCTTCAGGTCTGAAAAGGAAGCAGTTGATAAGAAAGTTGAAAAGGCATCAAGAACAAATGTTTGGTTACACACATATCAGGTAATCTCTAGAGAAAAGACATCTGGTGTCTTGTGAATAGATTATCAGGAAAGAGAACCAGAGAGAAAAAAAGGGAAATTAAATGTCTAACTGGTAAATAGGCTGCACCTTGGAAATGGGACTGTTTGCAGTGTGAGTTTACCATTCAGCATGAGGGACTATAAAGGAAGTAAATGGGCAATAAAAATAGAAAGGAAATTAAAAACAAACAACAACAAAAAAACCACATTAATACTGGAAAATGGGATAGTGCCCAGCATCTTTTCTGAAAAACCTGACTCATGTTGGCACAAAACAATTTTTCATCCTTTATAATTTGCTAGCCAAAATAGCTGTCTTTACTTCAATATTCATTGAATTATCAAAATACTAAGAGTTTGACCTATCCATTTTTAATTAGCTGAATGCATTATTGACAAGTTGATTGAGCTTATAAATTTAGACACGCACAACCAGAAGTTCTCATAATTTTTTGTACTGCTACCTTTGAACAAATTCAAGCATGTCTCTTAATATAGCTGGCAGGAAAGGTAATCCCTCAAAGTATAAGCATTTATTTTTTAAACTCATTCCATACTTGTATGATACCCTGAAATCTTACAGGCAGCTACTGAAGGTCCTTTGCACTGAATATGTGTCATTTATATCTTAGTAAATGTAACAAAATTTCTTAAGAAAAAATATAATATTGATGTTTTATGAATGAGCATGTTATGATATAGTGTTTTAGCTCTACTGGAGGCAGTGAGAGAAAATATTTGCGTAAGTCATAAAATTTTTAAGATTTTGTATTAATTTCTTATGGATCCTTGTGTCTATGTGTGCTGATGGCCAAATACTCAACACTGTGTCTCCAAGACATTCCATAGAATATTTCTGTGTTTCAAGGTCTGAAAAACAGAAAAGAAAATGCTATGAGAAGATACTGATTGTTGCTCTTCCTTACAGTGTTTGTCGGAGAGGGATATTCAATTGCACTAGTTACCCTTGTCCAGCTGTATGCACTATTTATGGTGATCGACATTATTATACCTTTGATGGACTGGAGTATGATTATGTCAGTGACTGCCAAGCTTACTTGCTAAAGGTAGGAAGATTGTTCATATATTTTCATATGTCCAACTGAAAGTTTCCATGAGAGGGCAAATATTTGGGTCATCAGAAGATGATACAGAGAAACAAACATCAAGAAAACAGGTGTAAAACAGATGTGTCTAAAGGAAGATTCCATAAATGACATTTTGTGCTAATTCATTTGAAAATGGTAGATGGGTGTGTAGCTATGTGGTCTAGAGAAGAACAGAAATCAAAATTTTCTATTCCACCTTAACCATGTTTTCATCACAATGAGGGAAGAATAATATTATAGAACTGGTCTACAGCTAGATACAATCTTTACATTTATTTAAAAATTATCTGTGAACTCTGCTTGGCAGAGGGTTAATGAGGACCTCAGAGGCTGCTTGGAATCTCTCAAATGTACTCTGCATCGGATCTGGAGTTTATGTAATAATATCAAGCATCATGATTTCATAATTGAATAATGAAATACTTCATTGACATTGTCTGGCAGCTACATGCTAATGTTCCTCATAGCACATATTTACAGTACATTGCTAGCCTTTTTTGTTTAAAAATACCATTACTGACATTTAGAAATATATTCTATTTCTAACAACACTATTGTTTATTATTGTTGCTATTATTAAGATTAAGAGTCTGTTTTCTGAGTTACAGTGATGTGTTTAGAAGAATATTCATTTTCTGTCAACCCTAAATGTTGAACTTTAAGAACAAGAATGGTTTCTCAACAAGGACTACTGAAAATAGTTTATTTCATGTACACTTTGGCAGAGTATTCACAGCTGCAAAATAAAATGTAATGGTCCCAGAATTTTTTTTTCTGTAAGAATACCTCATTACAAACTCCTGGCATGTATCATATTGTCTCAAAACAGAGCTCTTGCTCTTAGAGGAATATGAGTATTTGCACAAACCTGCCTCCTTTAAGATGCAAAAAAATAGAGATTACTTTAACTGTGAAACAATCTTGGCCATATGACGAGGCAGAAAAGTGGGTTGCTATTTCTTATTTTATATGCCATCCAGCTAGAGAGATGTATAAGGCAAATCTTGGCTGCTTTTTCAAATTTTCATATGATACTTGAATGTTTTGCTTTTACAATCAAATGTCACCTGCCACTCTACTACATATGAAAACACCTATTTGGAAACAAACCATGGGGAGCATTTGGAGATCAAGAATAGCACTGGCAGTGACATCATTAAGGCACATGGCACCCTGCCAACAGTCTTTTCATCAGGTGAACATGGTAACTGGAGTGCCTATGTGTAGTTCTGTTTTTCAGACTTTTCAGATCTCACCTCCTCCCAACTTAGCTAATGTGAGAAAATATGGCCTAATTTGTTCATGATCTTTCATTTCTCTTTAGTATATGGAAAACTTGATCTATATTGAAGGAATGTTTTTCACAAATTAGGCACTACGTAATTGTGTCTAGAATAGATGATATATCTGTGGGCTCATTTTTAAACGCGAAAAGTTTGGAGAAGTTTTAGGGGAAAAAAAGAAACAAAGGATGGGATCATATGGCAGATACACAAGAACTTTGAAGGAACTAAAATATAGAATTGATGAACTATGTGATCTGTAATCCTGGAATCAGAGGAATGGAAGATTGTAGTATAACTAAATATTTTAAGAGGACTCCTCAGCTGAATTTGGCAGAAATAGACTAATACATCTGATTTCCATATGAAGGAAATTAATTGAAATCATAATAAAGAGAAATGACATGATATTGGGGAAGAACTGAACTCCTTTTTGTAAAAGAATGTCACACATGATGAATCTTCTGACTTATTCAGTGAAGACAAACATATGGATAAGAATGATCAGGTCAATATGTGTATATCTTAGACATAAAGACATTTTGGAGACAGATTTCAACAAATATTTTTTATAGACTAGTCTCTAAGAGGATGAGAATGAAGATTCTTTCAAAAATAACTTAAAAGTTAGAATGTAAAGGATTGGAATAAATGGCCTTTTTTACTTTTTTTTTTTTTCTTGTTCTCTGAATGGGGAGAACTTGGTGATATCCCATGAAGATTCTGAAACCTCTATTTAACATTTTCAGTAACAATTTTGAAAATGTTTTGCTGGGACTGAGCAAACAGAGTGCTGATCATATAGTAACAGTCTGAACAGCTGAAACAGGAATGGACCACCAAAAAGTTCAGAATATCTTACAGCAGAAAACACTGCAAGATAAAATGGAAGATAAAATTCTACAATGAAAAATACAGATCAGTGCACGCTTAGAAAAAATAACTGTGACTGTGCTACCATGAAGATAGACTCTAAATTGCCTATTAATATGCAGGAATTAAATTTTATGTGACAAAAGTATAAGAAAGAGTTGTAATAGGTGTCTTACTAGCAGCAACCTAAGTGATAATACAAGGCATCATCCATTCTCCAGTTTCATATATGCTTTTATTTCCATGTACATGCTTCCACTGCAGCTGTGTACCACACAGTGATGTGGTTAAAGTACATTATATGAGCAGACATGTTTGCGTGATGAGACTGCTCTTTCAAAACAGGCTTTGTTGTTCAAAGATCAGAGGATTCCATGCCTGTATTTTCATCATTGCCCTACTCTATATAATGACCATGTGCAGCATTGTTTTTTTATAGTAGTCTCACATTAATATAATGAGTCCCCTTGAGCATCTTTTTGTGTAGAATGTATGCTAGAGAGCCCTGTCTCTTATAGTCTGTTCTCCAGATCACAGAATCACAGAATTTCTAGGTTGAGATAAACAAGCCAGATGAAAGGTGGGAAAGAAGATGTAGTTGCCAAAGTTTCATCTTTGCTATCTTAAATACTTTAAACAAGGGTACTGTAGCAGTGCAATAAGGGAAACCATAACTACAATTAATTTGTCAGCACACTAATTCATCCCTGAGACAGAACCAGGTCTAAGAGTTATCACATGAATCCCATGTCCCCAGTTTCAGGATAACGCTCTGTTCCAACATGCTTTACAAACATACACCTTTTGATTTGGCTGTTAGACTCTATGAATCTAATATATTTGAACTAATCTTTAATTTGCCACTATATTGCGCTCTACCGAACAAAACAGTCCTCCTTACTTTTTAATAAGGAACTCCTGTGCTCTGATGGGGGGAAAATCAAGTATTATCTTTCAGCCAATTATGAAACTTTAAACTTTGTTTTCAACAAGAGTATCATCTGTCAGATCTTTTTGTTTAAGGTGGCAGTAGGTGAACGAAAAAGCCCTTTATAATTAGTTCAGCAGATATATACATCAGTCAAATAATGACCAAAAAAAATTAATGCAATCAAGAAAATTAGGCCACTAATGTTTCATGACATGATAACAAGGAATTAGGAGATACCACGCACACTGAGGTGTAAAGTTTCTGTATGAATAGATGACATTCACAGAGAAGATATCAATATTTTTGCTTCTTAAAACCCGACTCAGTAATTTCAAAGGAAAAAAAAGAAAACCCTAGGAGACCAATAAATTTCTCTTTTATCAGTATGGATCATGTAAATACTTCATTGATTTAGTTATTCCAACCAATTTCCTAATTAAAAATATGTAAATACCTTGTTTTATTACATTTTCCTTCTTGTCTTCTGTCTTCAGTGATCCTACATTTTTTCCCTAACAAAATGATCTTATTTTCTAGCAAACTTTTACTGAGCATTATTTGTGCTTGCTATCTATTTCTTCCAGTTGTGTTTCATAGAGTTTCTGCTTTTACAGTAATATTGTGGTCTTTCTATTATACACATTGGTCTTTTTCTTGTTTTGTGTTGGTTTCCAGTCCTGCATTTCAGTATATTCTTTATTGAGGCTTGTAGGGTCAGCATGTTTGTACTTCGGAGCCCCTCAGAATTGTTCTCTTCTGAGGAGCAGATTTATATTTTCTCTGGTTTGGTGAAATCTGCAAGGGGAATTTAGAGGGACCATGGGTTTGGCCATGTTAGTCACTTTCTAAATCACTTTGATGCGACCATGAAGTCTCTTTTAAAGACAAAGTTGCCACTGGTTTTAATGTGTTGGAGGATTATGAAAACAACAACCAGACATTTGATCAAATAATTGGCATGTTGTACCAATTAGAAGGTTCAAGAGTCACCATATGGGAGCCCATTTGTTGAGAAAGAATTTCATTTAACAAAACATACGTGATCAACTAAACCAGTATCCCAGTTTTCCAAATGATTGTCCTGTGTCCCTTGTGTTAGATAGTGTGTCTGCCCTCAGGAATACAGTAAGGAAGCTCCTTTTTTACATATCCCTTCTTTTATAAATTGAGACAACTATGAAGCTCCTAGTTTATGCTCTCTTTATTAGAATGCTTAATACAGAAGTTGTTTGATGCAGTGATAATCTTTTACCTGTTACTTGCTGATATATATGGTTACTAAATTTGTTAAATGACTGTATATAAACTGCAGCAACCACACACAAAGCAACCACTTTTCAATTATTCATTTGTCACATCTGAGGAGGCAGAAGTAGCCTTTATCCCACTTCCCCTTATTGAATATTTATGTGTATATATTTTTTGGTGTGGCTTTTTTCAACATCATTTGTGTCAGACAGTCTGTAGACCCATTAAATTAGCAAACTTATAGAATGTAGTAGTATCTTCATGATCTCTCTCATAGCCTGCTGGTAAAATTAACACATTCTGCTTGCTGTTGGTCACCCCATGGAGGATTACAGCTGCAGATTCAGTTAACCAACATCGTGAAATGAACTGTTCATAGTTAAGAAAATAATTTTCTTTTAACAGGCTGGGGGTTTTAAAGGGAAAGTAAACAATATTGAATTTGAAATCACAGGTGTTTTAAATTGGAAACCTGACTCTAAAAGTTCTTTTATTCAGGGAATAAAATTGTAACATGGGATTGTAATCAGAACATCTTTATTTTTTTAATTAACCTATATAATCCTCAAAGCTACTTTCCATCAAAGGCTTTCACGAGTAAGTGATATACCAAAATATATCCA